AAAGTACTAAATACTTGAAGTATTAAGTAACTGTGTGCTATGGGAATCCTTATTGGAAATACACAAATCTGTTTCTTGAGCTTCCTGGGAGTATATACCCATATTATATCATTTGATCTTTTTTTTTTCTTTTATCTACATCTCAATTCTCTCTACTGTTTCTACCTCTAGGTATAGAGGCTTCTATATGAGGATAAACTTTATTGGCTTTCAGTGCAAATCTTTATTTACTATTAGTCATTTATTTGGACCAAGGAATATAATATAGCTATGCAAAAAAAAAAAGTTAACACAGCAGGTAGGACTGCTGTCCTTTGAAAAGGCTGCTTACAAGGTTGATTCTTGTTCTCAAATATATGAGAACTGAGATTTTGAAAGCATTCTTTCCATTCTCTAAACTCATAAAAGTGGCTCATTATGCCTCAATTGTTTGTGCAAAATACATGGCTTGTACTGAACACGTGCTTTCCTGCAGGGAGTCCAGAATTTTGGTACATACCAAGCCGAGTGTGCCTACAGGACCTCTCCCTGGTAAAAATCAATCTTGAACGAGCTCTCTTGGTAGGCAACAGTTCACGTGTTATCACAACTCATTGCTCCAGGCGAGTTAAGTGTGTCCTGCAAGACTTCATTCGGAGGGGAACTTTGGAAGGTCATGAGGTTTCCCTCAGACTTTGAGCCAGGCATCCTTTCCCTTTGATCTTGTTCTATAGCTTTTTGCTGTAGTAAATCTTAGCTGTGAGGACTAGAGGCTCAGAGTCATGTCGGCTCTTCCAGTGAATCGCCAGGGGGTGGTCACTGGGACTTCCAGTGCAAAGTCCTATTGTTTTATTCCACCTGATGATACACAGAAGGTCATGTTTACCCACTTGCATTAAAATACATTTCATGCATTTCTCATACACTATGAATTGGTAAATGAGTTTTTAAAAAAAATTTTGAACATTTTTGAGACAGAGCACAAGTGGGGGAGGGGCAGAGAGAGAGGGAGACACAGAATCTGAAGCAGGCTCTGAGCTGTCAGCACAGAGACTGACGTGAGGCTTGAACTCAAAAACTGTGAGATCATGACCTCAGCCAAAGCCCCACCCTTAACCTACTCAGCCACCCAGGCACCCCATGTTAATTTGTTTTTTGTTGTTGTTTTCTTGTGAAGTACTAGGTTCTCAGTTGCTTCAAGTTTCCCCAGGCCAAAGAGTATCTGCCAGTATTTATGGGCCAATGTCTGGCACACATTTTAAAAATTGAATTGTATCACATTCCACTCTGCCGTCTGCACTAGCTAGTAATACCTTCTTGACCACACTAGCAAGATCCTTGGCAAGTATCTTTCCCACTCATTATGGGGCATACTATATTACCCCTTACTGAGTTCATTATTTTGGTATCCAGGGCCAAATTCAACTCTAAAGCTGCTATTTAACAACCTGTTAATTTTTCAAATTCTTTTTCTTCCAAAGATTCAACTTTCCATTGGAATGATAGGCTAAAAATAAACCTTTGTGGCCCAAGTTCACTAGTTTTTCTGTCTAGAGTTTATATTTCCTAATTAAAGATACTTCACCTTTTTTTCCTCCCCATCTAAGATGTCTCAAATCATGTTCCTTGGGAATGTTATCCTCAAGCTACTAATTAAGGTGCGAATGACAAAAAAATCTGTGGTTAACGAAGTTTGGGAAGTTAGGTAAACAAAAATAGACTTATTATAGAAATTTTCTGAAAGTTTGATTATTATCATTTGGATTATAAAGGAACAGTTTAGGGTTTTGAATAGTATTAGATTTGCATAAGTGATATAGAAGTATATTACTGCTCAGAAATATCTTAAAGGGACCAATAGTTTACGGTATGCGCTTTGGCAAATGCTATACCTGTCCATAGTAGGGTAAAAGTGCTCACAGCTGATGTCTAAGAAATCTATACAGATATAAGAAGACTGAGAATATTATGACCACTTGGACATAGCCACACTGTGAGTACTGAATCCACTGCCTTTAGCACTGAACATCTAAAACATTAGGAAGACTATGAAATAAAAATGAGACTGTCAAATAAAAACTGTTAATGGATTACTTATTATAGATCTTTCTCTATAAGGAAATGACTTTATAATAGTGTATGAGGTTTCCTTAACATTATGGTAGTAAATTACTTGGCCCATAAAATGAAAAAATTAAATTCAGTTAGTTGTCAGTAATCACTCAACAGCTTTTCTATCAATCTGGAACTTGAACTCCTTGATTGCTAAAATGAAGAGAAAGGAAAATATACACAGATACTAAAAGACCACTGAGCAAGCATTTTTTTTAGGGAATACAAATACAACCCTACTAAATAAATTCAACAAAAAGGTTTGTTAATACTTTATTAGTATTTTCTAATGGACAGAACATAACGCAAACCAAATAAAAATTTTAATCTTTTTAGTTCAATAAAAATAACTGACATTCTGATTGTTGTTTCTTCTTTGTTAAAGAAGGAAAGTATTGATAGGTTAGGCACACAGTTGACATTTACTGTACAATGATATGCACAAGTTATCTTTTAACAACTATAATACTAAGATGTGCTCTTTATATTTTTCCCTTGTAATACAGGAGCCATGCTCCCATAAGCAAAATTTACTAATAACAAAATAATTTTACAAGGAGTGACAAAAAAGACTTTTAAAACAAGTCCTTAAATAAAAGGATGCAGCAACAACGGAATGTTAAGTTGTTGGGTTTAAAGACAGTTTAAACTAGATCTCAAAACATTAAAAATTCATTTATTGTACAATTACTCAAATACACATGCATTAAATGAAAATATTGCACAAAATTAAAATTTTAGACTTTGAAATTTATATTGTTCTTAATTTTTAAAAAATTGATACACTTTCTGGTAGCACTTAACTGATATTTCCTCAAACACCAGCAGCACAAACTTAAAAGGAGTGAACTGAAATATACAAGAAAGTTTTTAACCTTTTTTAAAAAAAAATTAAGGCTAACCAAGTGCATCCATTGGTCAATGGCACAATTTTTCAGCAACTACTCAGAACACCCTAATCATAGGAAGTGCCCAGCTAAGCACTATATTTAAATCATACAATCAATTTTTAGGTGAATCAACTAGTAGTAGTGGTGGTTTCTAAATAGTTTATATGTTACCTGGAAAATCAGAAAACCCAAACAAAATATGATTAATTTTGAAGGTACTTGCCTAAAGGCACCACTGACTTAAAAACACATTCAAAAATCAAATATCAGAAGACTTAAAGCCTCTTCAGGTATATATTTATATATGCAATAAATGCATTAAGTGTAATAACTTTATTAAATATAGTACACTGTACTTAACATGGATTAAATATTTTACAAACAGCTTGACCAAGTCATTCAAAAAGTAGCTCTAATTTTTAGCATGACCACGGCTCTCTCTGATGTAAAACACAGATGTGCGTGGAGAAGGTGCACAACCGTTTACATAGACTCTACCATCTGACATTTCTGCTTCTGAAATATAAACTCTTGAAACAAAAATTGTTTTAAAAACCCACTTACTCATATAGTTTTTGGTATGACTGCAGTTACCTTGCAGGGCTCTGTTATGAAAAGTTGCCATTTTGCACGACTTTTCTTTCCCTGGTTGATGGCCAACATTCCTCACATTATCTGGAAATGCTTTTTCACAGGTACACACTAGGCTCTTACATGAATTCTTGTTTACGCTTAGACTTACTTATGTCAAAAATATACTTGAAATGGGCGAGGGTGTATTTGAAAATCATTGCACTTATGGCCATGCCGATGCTTCCTACAGACGTGTTTCACAAATCCTCACTGTGAAAGCCTGGGGCGTGGGGAAGGACCACGGCAGGGAGACACAATGGGAAGAAAAAATACTATTTCTTCCACCAGAGTCAATGAGTATCTTTTCTCATTTCCAGGTTGCAATGAAAGGGATTTCATTTATGTAATTCTTTAAACATGCAACACATGCTGAACATGTGCATACTTTATGCACAACAGCATTATTAATAGATATGATTATGATAAAGCTTTAAAGGAAGGCTTTATTCTGTTATTAGGCTTCACTTTGTAAGTAGGATCTCCGTGAAAACAAGACAATAACATCTTGTTCCAATCTTAAAGCTCCCAAATAACTGGGATACTGATATTCCTGTCCCTTTATCTTAAGCACCCAGACGTTCTTTTAATGCCAGAATCTTGGCTCAGTGGTCTGATAAGTAGCTTCACTATTTTAAGGTTGTAGTGTTAAATATTTTTAAAACAAAAAACGCTGACATATCCAAACCCTTAGTCAGTGTAAGTATTTAAAACTATGCAGAAATCCTGCATACAAGGGATATGAAGACTTCCAAGATGGACAAATGGAGAATGAGAAAACTATAAGAAATGCAGAGGCTCCAAAACTGGAAAAGGTAATTTGTTGTTGTTGGTATAAAATTATTTTAGGGATTTAAATGTATACACCCAGGGGTTTTGCCAACTTGCTTTATTTAGTAGAATTTTACATTATGCAAAATATAAATAAAAGCGTATTTTAAAAAATATTATAGTTCTGTTTTCATTATTTATTTTCATATATACACAGTAATAGAATTAAGAATTTGTATGTTTACATATGACTAATAAGCTCATTTAATCCTTTGATTTGCTACTTTTGCAATCACCTAAGGTATGTCTAGATCACACAATTTAAAATTATCATAACTTTCAATAGAGTTTTTAATTTCCATATTTTTAAAATAACAATGTATTTGGCAGTTCTTCCAAGAGATTATACTCCCTACTGTATAATCCATAATCTCTTAAAGATAAAGAAATCTGTAATAATTTTGAAACTTAAGTGAGAACGCCACTATATGCTTCTTTTTTGCACACAGAATACAAGAAAACTTATGATTGAGTACCATAAGAGCAAAATAGAGCCCCAAAGCACATAACAATCAATTAAAATTTGTTTTATAACAGTGAATAACAAATCCAATCAAATTGTGTTTTTGATTGGTTTTATTTTATGTCACAAAACTGTAATTAGGGTATAAGGTTACTTCATACTTTAAGGGCATCCTGTCCCTTTCCCCAGACCCGAAGCAGATGTTCCAAAGACCATTTGCCTGGCTAATCCACATTATATCAAAATTCTGATAAAGACCTATAAAATTATTATGCAAAAAACAAATCCCTCCAAGTCATACACTGCTCAGTTTCCCAGTGTTAAACAAATTAGCCAGTTTATCCGTGAACCACTGTTTTGTGCTTTCCTTAGCTTCCATATATACATTCTGGCACTTTGTCATTGCTGGAGAATGCTGATTAGGTTGAAATGGAAGAGACCAATGTCATTCTTGCTTGAGAAGGGGCAGTATCCTCTCAACGCTGCAAAAATATGCACCAAATCATTTAAGACCCAGAAATCTCTCTTGGTAGTGGCTGAATTACAGATGAGGATGAGAAGAACCACAGTCCTATGGATGTATTAATAATCTATTTTGAGACACTGAAAGACTGGTGCGACACAACAGTATATGAGCTAAGCCCCAGAAGATCTGTCCATATTATTAGTCTTGGACAAAATGAACACCAGCTTCACAGATTGGAGTGTCACCTTTTCTGTAAAGAAGGTGCTTGAGTAGTCTGAAGTTTCTGTTTATATTTCTGTATCTGCTTTGACCGTGAATGCAGTTTGTTGAAAAGTTCACGAAATTTATACTGTGGAAATAAGGTTTCCAAAAAGCCTTCCAGGAAGACATAAACCATTCTCCTATTTAACTGGTTGTGCTGAAACATTTCAAAAACACGAAGAATACCTTTCCGTGTTGTCTCAGCCCCAATAATGTGCTTCAATTCATCTAAATAAAGAGGGGAAAAATAAACATAATTCATTACTCATATAAATAGGAAACACAAGGCCTAAACTATGATCTGAGTTAAATACAGTATGTTAAATACACAGGAGTAATACAGGAGGTATTCAGTTATGGTGTTTTGGCTACATTATTATAACTGAGATGTAAATTTAAACATTGGCACGCATTCACCTACTTAATAGACACTGGGGATGATAGAGCAAAGGAAAAAATCAGGATCTGGACTCAGAAACCCCAAATTAGAGTTACAACCCCTTAACACCACTATGGTATTTACCCATCCTAAGTTTGTTTCCTTAACTGTAAAATGGGGATTTATAATAACCAAGTTCCTCTAACTGTAAAAATTACAGAACTTTAAATTATGTGAAAAGTAATCCACAAAGTCTTAAACAGTGTACTAATAGTCTTACTGTATCTAACGCACAGTGAGAAACACTTTATAAGGAAATGGTGTATGAACGCTGATTAATGATCTCAAAAAGCTTGCAATGGTCACAAAGTGCCATGAAAATACTACAAGTATAAACATGTTTACAGAGGGGAGAATTCCACATGGCATATTACAAGGAAAGGCTCTCTTCATGGAAGTGGCAAGTGAGGTTGACTTTGCTCCCCGAGCAGAATGCTGACAGGCACAAAGAGATGATGGATTAGCTTTGGTGGAGAGAACAATGAGCAAATGAGCACTAAGTGTAAAAAAAAAAAGGCAGGTTCAAAAAATGGGGGGCACTACATACAATTCAGCTAAATTTTAAGATTCTTTGAAAACAAAAAAAGGGGAGAGAAGAATGGAAAAAAAGTGATGTGGCTACCAGAGTGAGACAAGTTTGGAGTTTACTCCTAGGCAACATGAAGTTATTGCATATATTGAAGTAAGGGAATATGTATGATTATCCTTAATGATTTATAATCAGGGCCCCAATGGTAATAAATATTTTTAATTATTTTCATAAGAAACATACAACTTCCAAAAAGTATGTCTCCAACTAGGAGTACTATATCATTTAAAGCAAATGGCTTATGAATTTACTAAAAACAGGGAAGGGATTATGTATATATAAAAACATACAGCTTTCCATTTTCCCTCACTTGCTTTGAGTCTTCACACAAGTGTCCTCTTCTCTCACAACAGTAACTTACCTGGCACATCTCTCTTCCTGCACTACTGGTCTCCTCAGCGCTTACCAATAGCTAACATTCTGGCTTTTATTTTATTGGTCTGCCTTCTGCCTGTGTCTCCCTAAAGAATGTAAGCTCCAAGAAGGCAGAGATCAGTGCAAAGAAAGTGTACGGCAAATGATACACTCTCAATAAATACTTACTGAACAAATGCAGTAAAGTTTCTTTCAGCTATGTAATTCAGTCTACAGTCCAAGTGGTTTACTAATAGTATATTAAATAATACTTAATGGTAAGTTATTGTTTATTTCTACTTTCCTAAGATGTTATTTCTATGATTTGTTTTTTTCTCCAAATGCAATAGTATATTGTCTATAGGGCAGAACTAATAACCATTTGGCAAATTTCCAACTTCACTGACGGAAGAGAGATTTTTAAATCTATGATGAAAATATAGTTTTAAATTTAAGTAAAATGAAGTTAGAGAAAAAAAAACATTAAATGATATTTAAGAAGTTCACAAATACTCCTTTTCCATGTTCCATATTCATTAAGATGTGGAGGAGAGATATCTACGTATTTCAAAGATATTCATAACTAAAGAAGGAAGCAAACATCCATCCAGACACACAAAACTGCTTTTCCTATACATAGGCTCTCCTGTTGAGGAGTCAAAATGGGGACAATGAGTTTAAGTTAGTGAGATAGCAGTGTTCTAAAGTAATGCAAATTAGAACAGAATGTATATGTATGTACACTATGTATACTTTCTTTGGAATCATGTTTTAATAGAGATTAATGGATCAATTAATGGATCAAACAGTTGTTTCTATGTAAAAGGATTTCTTTGGAAGAATTTGTTTTTTCTCTGAAGTAGGACAAATATTCTTTCTGAAAACCTCACATTTCATGTTCTTTTATTAGCTCTTTCATCTGTTACGTAGGTTATTTATCATCAATTTTACTTTCAAAATGGTTCAAGGTAGCAAATGAAGTGTTTAAAAGCACCACTATTTTTCGTGACTGAAAGCATTGGTTTTTCAAGTTGCTGAGCACGGAGCAGAAGAAAAACAGTCACTTACTGGTATATAGTAGCTCTAAACCTGAGGTGGCTTCTTTAACCTCTCTGAGCTGCTGTTTCCCCCAGAGAAAGCTGTGATGTTAACAGTGACTAGCTTCTTAGTACTGTTATGAGAATTAGTGAAAAATATATGAGAAATGCACAGCACAATAGCTAATATATGGTAAACCATTAACTGGTAGTTCCTATAATCCAAAGGCAGCTAAACCAGCATGCTCAATGACAAAACTTCAGAACAACTACAAATTAGTAAGATTTTTAGCCAACATGTTCACTCACCTGGCATAATTGAAAGTAATTTAGTTTTTCCTGCAACTCTTGTTCTCATTCGAATAGCTTTATCTCTGCATGGAACAGTCTCTGCTAAAATGCCATTTGGCCAAAAGGCATCTCTATTTAAGAAAATTAAATAAATCTTGTGAAAACTTTCATTTTCTAATGATACAAGTTAGTAAAATCATTCCAATTTTCTACAGAAGACACAAATGTAAACAGAAAGTGGAACATTATGAAATTTTATAGAGGTATGATATTCAACAAACAGTAACTGAGAGCAGGGTTCAATTTTAAGTGTAAAAGGATATACACTGGAAAAGTAAGAGATGAATTCTGCCCTGGAATAACGTATAAACAAATGAAAAAGATAGCAAAATGGAACATACAGGCCTCTGATCTCAATGAGACTGAACATCTTATCCAAATACAACCCCATAATATCTTGAATTTGGATACCTTATAATCTCCCTCGGTTCCCCTATAACTAAGCCAATTTAAACCAATCCTGCACCAACACGTACAGCTAGACATTTTACAACATTCTTTTCACATACATAACCTCTTCTCCTTCACTTGGCAAAGTGTGTTTGATTTCTACTCTCCAATTCATAGACCAAAGATAGGAAATGAGCATACTACCTAAGGTTCCACCTGGGAATTTGGGCTGAGGGAGAGAGAGTTCCCAGAGCAGTTGCTATTAACTTTGAATGTACATTAGAAACACATGGGAGCTTTAAAATCTTAATGTTCAGGTCTTTTGCTGGATTAATTAATAAATTGGACTCTCAAGATGAGACCCAAACATCAATACTTTTTAAAGTTCTCCAAGTGATTCCAACATGCGGCCAAGGCTGGGAATGAGTGCTCCACAGTAAAAACATTACTTCTCTACCCTGAAATAGAACGTACGTGTGCCACAGCAGGTGGTCAGACTTTTGGAAACAGCGTGGTGTAGTGAGGAGAAGCCCAGTTTCAGATTAAAGAAATTTACTGTTCCCTACTTTACAGCATGTGAGCCTTTGGACAAGCTGCTTAATTTCTCTAATCCTCAGTTTCCATATAACAAAAAATGGAGACAGAAATCCCTGTCTCATGAAATAGGATAAAACCAGAAAGTGTACATAAAGTAGTAGGCACAGTACAAAGCAAATAATTAATATTCAATGTGGATAGCTCCTTTCTTGCTTCTGTTACTTCAAAGTACATGAGGCCATGAATATGCCTTATATTTCACTTTTAGAAAAGAGGTTCATTTCTGGACTATGCCATGCTTTCCTTGAAAGGACTTCATTTTATCTCAGTCCTAGTGACTGGCAAAGTACAAGGCACAGAGGAGGGGCTCGGGGTATTTTTGTAGGATGAACACATGAACTTGAGTAGCACTGTCCTTGATCTATATTCTTTTGAGAGGTTCAAATAGTTAATAAGTCCATAGCCAGAGATGTACATATTTTTTTAAAATTTCATTTAAAATCAAGAATTTAAATTATTTTAAAGCCAGATTACTGTGATAAAATGTAACCCGTATCTGAAAGATTATTCTTTACCACTTTTTTCTATTCTGGTTTTAAAGAAACAAAGATCAAAGGGTCCATGGGACAAATGTTTATTATAATTCTTACAAGTCTTTTTGTTCATCAAAAAGAAAGAAAACAAAGAAAAGCAGTATAAGTTAATTAGTGATAACAATGCTAAACTCTGTACTACCTGAAAGAAGTGACTGTGTCTTAAGATATACCTGAAACGCTTCACTAAGTCGGCTACTTGCTCAGGTGAGGTCATCCAGTCAACATGGTCAACTATTTTTCTGAAAGTAAGCACATGTAAATTAGTAGGGTAAAAATTTTAGAAGGTGTATAAAATAAAGAAACACTACTTTCATGGAGTAAGCAACTTAATTTGTATGTAAATTGACTATGAAAACACCAGACTATTTTAATGATCGTAAAAAGCCTAGAGAAGAAAATCTCCTATAAAAGTTGAACAATCTACTTCCAGAAGTAAAAGCTTAAAAGCTAAGTAAGAACAGCTCTAAGGGATGGAAAACAAAAACAAAAACAACAAAAAAACCTGGTACCTGTTAATAGTATCACCATAAGTGGCTCTAATAAGCTGCTGAAGTAGGTTTTTGATATTCCTTCGCAACCACTGATTCCTCTCTTTTAAATCAAATACTTCATCCATAAGAAGCAGCATTACCCTAAGTGGAATATTGTCATCCACCTGACAAAATATGGGAAGAAATAAAAATATGTTTATTTGAGTTACCTATCTATATGAATGGCTACTTCTGCTGCTTTTACAAAATTATTGCCACTATTTCCGACATCAGAGAACAAGTTATATTACAGTCTTCATAACCTTTCAGTCTAATTTTTAAAATATATGTTTTTAACAGTCATTTTGACAGAATATAGAATTTCACAACCCTACAATTCCAAGGTGGTAGAGAAAAGCACTTCTCAAAGTGGATCTATGAAGTCCTAGGAAAAGATAACTTGGCTCTTTTACTTTTAGTAGAGTCTGTACTAGTTTGATAAGGTAAATGCCCCTTTGTCTATTTTCTGGAGCATCTCTTCCAAAAGAACAAAATATTCTCAACATTTCTCCTTGTTTAATAGAAAACACAATCTACACAGAATAACATGTTTTGCTTTGTTAGTGAGTTGTATGTATTTAGGTATTTTAAGAAGCTCAAATAAAATTCAGTATATAGCCAAGTTAACATTATAAAAGGCATATTTCACTAGATTTCTAAAATTTTCTTTTAACTTTTAACAAGTAAAAATTTGTGCACTTTTATTATAGGAATAGTCAATTAATGGTATAAAAAGAAAAGGTAAAAGTAAAGACAAGAAAAAAGTAAAAAAAGGTAAAAAGTAAAGACAACTAGAATGTTTTGATGTCCAAAAATATATACAAAGCAAAGAACAGATTTTGAACTATAATAAAACTGCATATAATTGCCAGTAATTTTATAATTCTTTCGTCACCAAGATACTCTTTCCAATTATTTCCTTGTCCATGCTGTAAATCTTGAGAAAATACCATGAGTTATATATTTTTCACTGTCATGCTGTCAACATTTTCTTAGTGCACCTTCCCTTTAACATACTCAAAAGTCATAGCTAAACCAAACAAAGGTAGCTGAGGTTGCTGAGGGGTGTGGCTGGTGGGGGAAGAGGCCAAGTTCACTCCACAGGTAAAATAAATATTGCTCTAGTTTCTGACCAAGTATACTCAGGAGTTTGGAGCAACATGATAATTCTAATAAATGCCTAAATTGTAAAAACCCCAAACAGAAGGTATGAAGTTACGGATATTATACCCATATAAATCATAACAAAACATTCTAAAATATTTTTTAAAAAGCAAATAATATACAGTTTATTATAAAAATTCAAAGCAAAACCGAAAGGAGGTGATTAACTAAATCTGCTTAATAAAACAGAATACAAAGCCCAGACCCAAACATATATGATAATCTCATTTGTCACAAGGGAGAAACATAGTACACGTGGGAAAAGAGGGCCTTCTCAGTAAATGGTGTTTGGGTCAACTAGACCCCTAACCTCATTCCATACACAAAAATCTATTCTAGATGAACAGGAAATCTAAATTTTTGCATGATACAATAAAAAGATTTTTAAAGAAAATCACAGGTGATCTTTGTGGCCCTGCAGTAAGCACAGATTATATATATAAAATGCACAAAGCACACAAACCAAAAGATATTAACAATACACAAATACTTATATCTAACAAAGAACCACTATTCAGATTATATAAAGCACTCTTGTTAATCAAAAAGACAAAGACAGCCAAGCTAACAGGAAAACAGAGGAAAGAGCTAGACACACAAGACAAGACACCCAAATGGCCAATAAACATATGCAAAAAGGTTCAACATTTCAACAGTCATCAGAGAAATGGAAACCCACATGAGATACAAACCAGAATGGCTAAAATTTAAAAGACATAACATATTGACTACTGGCAGGCTACAGAACATTGAAATTCTCATGCATTGCTTGTAGCAGTGTAAGCAGCACAAACACTTTGGAAAACTATTTGACAGCATCTATTAGAACTGAACTTATGAATACCCTCTAATCAAGCAATTGCATTCCTGGGTATAGACCCAAGAGAAATGTGTACTTAATTTTTTAATCAAAAGGCATGTACCAGAGTGTCCATAAGGGTACTATCCATAATATAACAAATAATTGTGCTATATTTACAAAACGGAATACTGTTAAGTCCACAAGAATGAAGAAACTACAATCACACAAAACAACATGGAAGAATATCACAATGTTGAGCAAAAAAAGCCAGACTTAAAAGAGTACATACCTTACAGTTTCATTTATATAAAGTATAAAAGCAGGGTAGAAGTCAGGATAGTGATTATCCTTGGTGGGGAGAGGATAGTGACAGGAAGAGAGCATTAGGGGCTTTCTGGGGTATTAACATTCTGTTTCTTGTTTAGAGTGATTACATGGACATGTTCAGTTTGTAAAAATTCAGCAAAATTAACACATACAATACATACACATTAATGATAGGTATAAACATAATACTTCATTAAAAAGTTAAAAAGATTTGCCAAGTGTGATTTGAATTACGGTTGAATACTACCAAAAATAAAACTAACTCACAGTATCATCAAGTTGAGCTGAGACCCGACAGTGTTCAGGATCTGAATCAGTCTTCGGAATTAAAGGAGGCACCTAACAGTTAAAACAAAAACAAAAAACAACAAAATAAACACACTAAAGAAGACAGTGAAAGAACACAATAATCAATCAAAATGAACATTAAGCATAATAATAGTGTTTGATTTTGGGGACAGTACATAGGCAAAATTTATATATATTAAAAAGCATTAACAACATACAATTAGAAACCAACTGCTAAATTGTGATTACTTTATTACCAAAAGATTTTTTTTAAAGAAAAAATGGACTTTTGAGTTGGAAGGAGAGATTATTTAGTCAAACTCCTATACTTTTTAGAATAAATTAAAGCTAAGAAAGGTTAAATGATTTAGAAGCAAAATGTTAGTAGCACAGCCAGGGAACAAAATTCCAATCTTCTTTCTTTTACCGTAAGAAGCTCGACAGTATATTAACAAGCTTAAAAAACGAATTAACCTCCTATTAGATAATATAGGCTATGGGGAAAATGGACAGACAAGTGTTAGCTAATAATCATTTGTCAGCATGGCTGGAACCATCAAGATTACCTATCATTACCCGTTCATGTTACTGGTAAAAAAAAAAAAAAAAAGGAAACTGGAAAAGCTCAGTGAATTCTGTACAAGGTCATATAGGTAGTTATTGGCAGAATTCTCATTTGTCAATGTTAGTGTTATGTTCCCATGATTAGAAACAAAGATAAAGCATCAGAGACAGTATGAGAGTAAAAAGATAACTGTGGATTTAGACACACATTATTTTAGGAGTTTTCTCTTAAACAATTTCTGCTGTTTATATACATATAGTTTCTCTTCACTGAAACATGATCTAACAAATAGAAAACTCTAATAGTTATATGCTTCCTTTATAGTCTTGATCATAATCTTAAACAAGTAGGTCAGAATTATAAAAGTATAAATCAGAAAGTAACAAACTACTTGGTCTGCTACCTGTATTTGCTAATGTAATTAAAAAGTTTTCCTAGGACTCTCTTCTGTACCACTCACTAGAATATACGAAGAAGGTATGGCCTCAGAGATGGATGATTTTGAGACTTTTCCTCTCTTTGATCTCCTAGACACTTGATCATGCACATCAGGAGAAATTAGGCTTTATGTTTCCTGCTGAATACTAATATAGCTAATGTGTACAGTAGCACTTGCTTTGTTATAAAATTTAATTGCATTATAAAATAAAAACAGTGTAATAGAACATAACAGTATAAAGAATGTTAACTTTACTGGCTTTTACAATTCTACCATACCAGAGCCTGGGGAATGACTGGATTTTAAAGTATCCATTTCTGATAAGAACTTATTCTCTTTAGTTTTTTTATGATTTATAAGAGACTATGTGTCTAGAGGGCTTTGGACTTCTGAAAAGAAATATGGTAAATCTAATCAGGAGCTCAATAAATCTAAGTTGACTTAATAGTTTGCTGTAGATATTAACTGAAAACATATTCTTACCTTGAAAAATGACTGCTTTATGTCTTGACCTAATCTTTCTGACATTTTGCCCATGTTGTCTGACATTTTAGTCATTCCCTCTGCCAAGCTATCAGGAAGGGATTTAACTGCATTTGAAACATTCCTCATAGAATTTCGAAGTGGATTTACAAAAGTGTCCATCTAAGGGGAAAAGATATCATACCATGACTTCATTTTATCAGATTTGTTACTTAATGAGAAGCCTGGGAAAAATAGAGTGCAACACACATGAAGAATGCAATCATTTTCTAGTCTGTAATATCTCACTGCATTTTAAAAGTACAGAACTGTTGTCTTCAAAATGTATGGTCTTGAAGCTGTATTTTCACACACAAATACGATTAAAAGTTTGGGGTGATAAGGCTATTGCTAGAAAATATAAGCTTTTGCTTATATAAAAATAAAATACATTGCTAGAGATACTAAGTTTGTCTCAGAGATACTAACATTTTAAGGAAATCCTGGAAAAAAAAATCCAAAGCAGAAATTAATGCAAATGGAATTAGCCACCACATATTTCTGCTACAATTCAAGGCAACGATAGCAAAGATATTTTGAGGAAATGCTGAAAAATAAACAATTAGATAAAATAAGCAGAAAGCTCAAGTAATTAACTAAGATTTTTTTTAAAAATAGGTTTTAGGTTATATTACATGTTCTGTTAAAATCTACATAGGGAATAAAGAATCCTTTAGTAAGACAGAATAGAACAAGTATAAAAGAAAATGTCACCAGAAACATAAGAAGGAATAATCTCCAGAGCGCTAGAAAGGATTAAAATTGACATCCTGACTGTACAAATGTCAGGTAATTTCAATTAAGAAAGGGAGAAATATCTACAAACCAAAATAGTCTGCATATGGCACTGAAATTTTTAACAGAAATAAAAAAGAAAAAAGGGACACAAAACCAAGTCATACAAAAAATGACAAGAATATTTTCCAGAAAATGTGAGTTGTATAAAAACTATTGCAGAAACAAATTATGTTCCCTGCAAAAACAAACAAACAAACAAACCCCCAACCAACCAACAATAAACTGAACTCCACTCCATTGCTTCACGAACACAGCACAAATGTTAAGAGATGAATTCAAGAAGACAAAACTCCTTCACTCTAATAAGCTTTCATGATTTTCATTAAGAAAAACTAAAAAAGAGAAGTACTATTAATAAACCACAACAAAAAGTGAATTTTAAGATACCTGTAAAATAAGTGGGAGTTTTTAGTTACTACTTGGATCAAGCTGAGCAAATAGTGCTACAGATATGTTTGATGGGATATGCAGCATTTAGGAGAGACACTGTCACAATAGAACAAATCAGAGGAGAACCACAGGACAAAAACAAGGATGAAGAAGAGGTTGAAAACACTACCACTGGCACACAGATATAAAAGGATAAAAAGATGAAGCTAACTCTGTGCATGTGTGCTTATGTGTAAAATTATGTGTTTTTATATTTGCAGCCTCATGCTATCCAAACACTAAGTTAGCACTGATACTCTTTTAAAGTAACAGAACCTAAATCTGTATCATTACTTAGTTAATAATCATAAACAGTTGCCTGTGCACCATCCTTGACCTAAAGAATCCATTTATTTTTCTATCCTTTTTCCTTTTTGTTTTTCAATTTCTAAGGGTAAAGTCCAAGGATTTGTACTGGAGGCAGAGAATAGATAAACTAGGGAGATGGAAAATCCTCCACAAATGATTCTGACGCCTAATCCTGAAATCCTGAAAAAGCAGAACTTTAGAAGCACAAAAGCAGAGTCCGTCACTTATGACAAGAGTTCCAAAAACAGGATATGTCTTAAAACATGCTTAAAACAAATGTGTAAATTACCAGGCAGAGGAGTGAATTATGGATTGCCATCATAAATGTATACTTAGCCTGACTTACCAAAAATGTCTATTCATTATCACTTCAGTTATATGTATCAGTAACAACACAAATTAATTTTAACTTAAGTTTAGATCCCTAACTATAACTTAAAATACCTCCCATGATGTAAAGCTGGATAGAGGGGCACCTGGGTTGTTCAGTCAGTTGAGCGTCTGACTCTTGATTTCAGCTAGGGTTATGATCTCTGGTCTGTGGGATCAATCCTCGTGTCAGGCTCTGCACTGAGCATGGAGCCTGCTTGAGTTTCTCTCTCTCTCTCTCTCTCTCTCTCTCTCCCCCTCTGCCCCTCTCCCTGGCTCATACTCTGCCTTCCTCAAATAAAAATAGGGGTGTCTGGGTGGCTCGGTGAGTTAAGGGTCTGACTTTGGCACAGGTCATGATCTCGCAGCTTCTGGGTTCGAGTCCTGCATTGGGCTCTGCACTGACAGCTCAGAGCCTGGAGCCTGTTTCAGATTCTGTGTCTCCCTCTCTCTCTGACCCTCACCTGACCACACTCTGTCTCTCAACAATAAATAAATGTTATAAATAAATAACATAACATAAAAATATAAAATAAATTGGATAGAAAGATACTGTGTGCATAAAGGAAGACAGGCTTGTTACTTAACTCTTCCTAAGAATTGCCCACATGTCTTGCAAGGATAGACAAATTGTGTGACCGAGTTAATCTGTTATAATGTATTACTTCTCAAGCTCTGATAGCCACTGATAAAATGTTTGAAAATGATTTTCTCTAATAGCTATTTAATGTCCAGTGAAATATAATTAAGAAAAAAATATTACATTATAATTTAGACAAAAAGGAAATGTAGCTGAGAAACCTCTAATACTTGATATGCATAAAATTATTTTGCAAATCTAAAAAGAGGTCAAGATGACCTTGGTAATTACCAACATGATTTATGAAAAATGTATGTTACAGTGGATTTCCAGAAATGATTCGCAAGGATCTTTAGATTCCAGTAGTAATATTTTTAAAAAGTGATACACAGCTGTTTGGATACATAAACACACAAGCTACTATGGTTGATAAATAGAATTAGGTAGGGATGCCTTGGTGGCTCAGTCGGTTAAGCGTCTAACTTTGGCTCAGGTCCAGGATGTCACAGTCTGTGAGTCTGAGCCCCATGTCGGGCTCTCTGCAGTCAGCTCAGAGCCTGGAGCCTGCTTCGGATTCTATGTCTCCATCTCTCTCTGCCTCTCCCCCTCTTGCACTCGTCTCTCTCTTTCTCAAAAATAAATAAACATCAAAAATTTTTTAAAGAATTGGGTGCATCTGAGGTAATGTTTCTTTTATCTCAAAAAAAGCTGTTATCAATTCATTAATTTATCTTAAAATTAATACAATCTTAAGAAAGGATATAAACATCAAAAAGATGGAATGCCAGAAGGAATCTCTACTGACAATAAAACCATTTTGAGTTGAAATTTACCCTCTATCAATTTAATCATGAAATACAAAGACAATCCCACCATATCCTCCCTCCCTGACATTGTAAGGTACATAATATGGAACTTGTTATTACAACACTCCACTTAAAAATGTTAACATTCACTTGGACGTTAAGACCCAACACCCTAGAGTAATCATACAAAGTTCTGATGCTTAATTCTTACTAATTTTGTAACAATTTCTTCATCTTCTAAAAAAAATTAGTCTTTTCAGTGGGCAGGGGTAAAGAGCAGCAGGGAAGTTGTGTTATTTTTTTCATTTTGAAATAATATGAGACTTTTGAAAAGTTGTAAAAATATAGTTCCTACAACATTACTCACCCAGCTTTCCCAACTGCTGTGACTGCTCTTGTTATTACTGCCACTACTACTACTACTACTACTACTACTACTATTACTACTAACAACATTCATTTCAAGGTTAATGATGTACCAGGTGCTAAACATGGAATATCACATTTGATTCATACAATGCTTTAAAATGAGAATTAACATCTTCATTACTTGAGAAAACTAAAGGACCAAAAGGTGAAGTAACATATTGCAGGTCACAGTTAGTAAATGGCAGAGCAAGGATTTAAACCAAAGACTAATTCCAAAGTCTGTATTCTCACCTACTAAACTACCTTGCCCAATTTGAGTAGTCATCTATTGTCTTAACCTACAATCTAATCCCAAATGTAGGACTCATATTTTTAAAAGTAGTTTTAAATAATATAGATTTCACTCAAGAGGCATAAATACTTTCAGGAACATAACCTCTTTAACATTTTTCTTACCCTTATTCCACATAAAAGACATTTCCTCCCAGTAAGAAATACTTCCTTCTCAAGTTACTGAAAAGCTTGTGACCTATCTCAGGTAGACTTTCCTTACTGCATTATTTCAAAAAATCTTTTTTGTTTCTTTCAAGCTCCAGTTAGATTTTAATCTACATGTAAAATCAGGAGTTTATTCTTATTAGGAATACCTATTAATAGATTTACTAAAGCATAGAAGATAAACATGCCAAGAAGCATTTAATAAAATCTTCTGGTTTTAAAACACACAAATACAAATTTATTTTGTTTTACTTAAAAAGAAAGTATGAAAACAGACCTATAAAGAAAACCAGTGTAATAGTCTGCTTACCTTGCGAGCAAAATCCCCTTTCCCTTTACTGTAGGCTTTGTTCTCAAGGAAATCATACACATAGTGAGCCAAAGCTGGGGATGCTTTCATCATTTCAGGAGTTAGTAGTAACTAACAGGAAAAAAATGGCATCTTACATTGGTATGATACTGGAAATTTACTCCTATTTATAATTTTATCTGCCAGAAAGTTAAGAATATCCAGAATTTTAATTTTGTGTTTTAAAAAACAATTATACAATTTATAAATAATCAATAATTCTATGACCATTAACAGTTTGGTGCATATTTTTCTCATCTGCTATTTTGACTTAAGGTGCATCTAAGGTGAAAGCTGTCTGAATGGATTTACTACAGTAGTCCTCTTTCTCTATACCTGTGATAAAGTTTAACTTAAAAATTTGGCACAGTAAGAGATTACCAACAACAAAAAATAGAACAATTTTAACAATATACTCTAACAAAAGTTGTGTGAATGTGGTCCCTCTCTCTAATTATCTTACTGTACCCATCCTTCTTGTGATAGTAAGAGATGATAAAATGTCTACGTGATTAGATGAGGTGAGGTGAATGACAATATGCATTGTGACATGGCATCAGGCTACTAATGACCTTCAGTCAATTGATCAGAAGGACAATCATCTGCTTCTAGACCACAGCTGACCATGGATAACAAACCACAAATAAAAACTCTGAAGTATCATAAAGAAGTATCATAAAGTATCTAAAGTATCATAAAGAAGCACCAGAACAAAATATAGCTTTCACAACTGTTAACGATGTAACCTAACACACTGCTTATGCTTAGTTCTTTCTATGGAACATGTTTTGACATACTTGAGTTCATCAGCTACAATATATACGATACAGCCACATTTAAAAGATTCATTTATGGAACCACATCTGGAAGAAGGTAGTCATCTTCTAAATCTAATAATTGATATAGATTTTTATACAATTAAAGCTAGTACATTAAAAAAATCAAAATGTTTGACAAGAGTCATATAAATCATATCAGACATTCAGTTTTAAGTCAGAAGACAAAGGTAAATAATAAGAGATTTATATGTTCTTGCTATACTTTTGGGGAATAATAATACTGTGGTTATAAACAAACCAAAGAGAACTTATAAATGCTTTTATAAATGTGTAGGAGAGAGAAAAATCTTTCAAACAAAATATCCAATATAGCATTAGCTAAATTTCAATAAATACTAAGGCAGGGTCAGTAAACTTTTTGGAAAGGTTCATATAGTAATTATTTCAGATTTTGTGGTCCATTGTGTGTCTGTTAGAACTACTCAACTCTACTATAGTAATGTAAAAGTAGTAACAGATAAATGGATGGCTGTGTTCTAAAAAAAACTTGATAAACCATGTGGTAAGCCAGATTTTGTCTGCAGTTGGCAATTTGTTGAGCCTTGTTCTACAGGGTAGAGTGGGGATCTAAATAATAGAACATTATATACCTGAGCTGAGGCTGGGTCTACTAGATAAAAAAACTTTTGCAAACCATTCATTAGTATAAAGAATTATAATGTGATATTATTATTATATCTGTCAGCTGGGTACCCAGCTCTAAAGGAAAGTTATTTCTGGGAGTCCTAGCAGCTCATGCAATAAGCAACTTAGGAGACAAATTTTGTTATTTCATAACATAAAGCTACAAATCTGGGATACTACATGTAAGAAATAACCCCTTGACTCTATTCCTCTCTTGAATTACCCTGTAGTTTTAGAAGCTTTAGACTCATAACGGACCACAGGAAGCATTTATCAGGAATGAAAATCTGTAGCTTTGGATATACCTTGAAGAGCTACTATCAACTGAATTAGAAACATTTAACTCTTTGGTGTATCATAAAATACCTAGACTTTATAGTAATATAGAAAAGACAGATGTATGCATCTAAACCTGAAGTAACAAAACCCCTAGCACTCAGTGTCCAGAAAACTGTTTAGTCAATAAAGAGAGAAATAAAGTTGATAAATTACTGAGCAGACTGCATGTCACACTGGAAGTGCTACTCAACAGTAGTTACTATTCCAGTATTTTATTAAAACATTCTTTAATAAAGAAATCTACCAAATTTGTATGCTATATTAAAATGAAATTTCATAGGTAGTAATAAACATGGACTTACCTGCAAATATGCATTTAGATCCTTTTTTCTCTTTTCTAAAAAATCTCTATCCATATTATTAAAAGTCTTTTTACCAGGAAGCTTCAGTATGCTTGACAGATTTTCAAACTAGAAGATAAAATACATTGATAATTTCAGTTTTCTACAAAATAATTATTTTCCAAATAACAATCCTCTATTTATCAAAAGCATCTTTAACAGACTATTGTGTGGTATATTATATTAAGCAAAAATCAGAAAATATGTCCAAAACATAGTACTAATGCTTTTTATTTATAAAGGAGTATTTTCAATTAAGAATGACAAACATGGATAACTAATAAAGATGGATGATGTCCACACAGGATTTAATTTTAGTACTCTGATTTTGTTCAAAATTATCAATACCGAAAGGTTTTATTTTATTTTATTTTCATAGTTTATTTATTTTTGAGACAGAGAAAGACAGAGCATGAGTGGGGGAGGGACAGAGAGAGGGAGACACAGAATCCGAAAAGGCTCCAGGCTCTGAGCTGTCAGCACAGAGCCTGATGCAGTGCTCGAACCCACAAACCGTGAGATCTGACCTGAGCCAAAGTGGGACACTTAACCAAATGAGCCATCCAGGCGCCCCTCAATACAGAAAGGTTTTAAAAGTATTTTCCTTAACAACACTTTGACTTGTGAATAAAGTATTAGCAAATATATTTTTAATAATCAAAGATCCATGATTTCCTGGCTTTTGAAGAAATCTAACAAAGAAATCTTTTTTAATATCGATGACTTCAAATCAGTTAATCATTGTAATAGCTATTAAAAACAGAAAAGGCAATTTCAAAATACAGGTTACAATTATATTACAGCTCTATATAAACAACTATAGCGTAACAGTGACACTTCTTCCCCAGCAAACACATGAAAAATAAACTCACAGAGTATTAAGAAAAACCTTAAGAGCCTTTAGTATGCATCTTATTTTTGTAAGGCCACAAAGTATACATACTCCAAGTCTACCATTTATAGACTTAACTTTTGGGTGCACCTTCAAAGAACCACATATACAGTACTCTACTGTGCCCTGCTAAAGCACAGAATTTAACTATACCAGCTGCTAATATAGTGTAAGAGCAAAATCGTTTAGCTAGTGACTATGCCTGGCCAACACCCTAGTAACTGAATTTCAAGCAGTCTTAGTGTTTTTCCCATGTGATACATGTCCTTAAGTGAAACAAACTTTCTATAAACCATTCTTTGTTTAAAAACATCAACAATAATGGCTCTATAAAGAAAATTCATTCTTGGTGCAGCGATTAAAGAGGAAATGAAAAGATGCGGGATGATTTTCATCTCCAAACTGAGTAATTCAGATAAATTTTTTTTTATTTTTTTTACTATTTATTTATTTTTGGGAGAGTGCAAGTGGAGGAGGGGCAGAGGGGGATAGAGAATCCAAAGTGGGCTCTGCACTGACATGCTGACAGCAGTAAAATGTGGGGCTCGAACCCATGACCAGAGCTAAAGTCACATGCTTAACCTCAATCAACTGAGTCACCCAGGTGCCCCATTCTGATAAATTTTTAAATGGAATTGCAAATCAGATGGTTGCCTGGAGCTATAATGTGAATAAATTCATTGTATGATACACATGAAAGGTAAAGGCAATTCTTTTGCCTCAGTAAAGGCAAACAAACAAACAAACAAAACACAAAACAAAAAATGAAAGATGCAATTTACAGGGAAAATGTTATGCTGTGATATTCATAAATTTGGTTGTTCACAATAGTATTAGAAGAGGTCCTTATTGAATATCAAATGTCCATACAGTGGACAGCTTCTGATTTCATGAACTTTTTTTTTTTAGAAAATCATACCTTACGGGGCACCTGGGTGGCTCAGTTGGTTAAGCACCGGACTTTAGCTCAGGTCATGATCTCACAACTTGTGAGTTCAAGCCCCGCGTCCAAGCTCTGTGCTGACATCGCAGAGCTTGGAGCCTGCTTCAGATTCTTTGTCTCCCCCTCTCTCTGCCCATCCCCTACTCACACTCAGTGTCTCTCTCAAAAATAAATAAACATTAAAAGAATAAAAAAAATTTCAGAAACATTAAATTATTAATAATGTTGTTAATAAAAAGAAACAAATTAAATACCACAAAAATAGTTATTTTCTTAAAGCCTGATTATCAAACTCCTTTTCAAACTGTCTGGAACAGAAGTATATATGACTGATAGTTTTCTCAAATATTGTTATTATAAAAACACAAAAATGGGGAAATTTTATACTCTAATTAAACTTATTATAAGACTGCTATTTTAAAGATTATTTTAAAATTAGAAGTTAAAGGAAGCCCATTCCCTGAAAGGTAATATAATTCCCTCTGCAAAAACTCATTTTTGCAGTATTGAAGTATTTTGAAGTATTTTTTTTTTAATATTTATTTTTGAGTGACAGAGTACAGGAGGGGGAGAGGCAGAGAGGGAGACACAGAATCTGAAGCAGGCTCCAGGCTCTGAGCCGTCAGCACAGAGCCCGACACAGGGCTCAAACTCACAAACTGTGAGATCATGACTTGAGCTGAAGTTGGACGCTTAAACCAACTGAGCCACTCAGGTGCTCCAGATTTTATCTTTCTATACTGAATATGTCAGTATATAGAAAAGTATATACTGAATTAAAAAAAATTTTTTTAATATTTATTTTTGAGAGACAGAGAGAAACAGAGCATGAGTGGGGGAGAGCAGAGAGAGAAAGACACAGAATCCGAAGCAGGCTCCAGGCTCTGAGCTCTCAGCACAGAGCCCAACGTGGGACTTGAACTCACAAACTGTGAGATCATGACCTGAGCTGAAGTCAGACACCTAAGTGACTCAGCCACCCGGGTGCCCCACAGATTCCTAGTATGCTATTGGAAAATTCAAAAGGCACACCTGAAATTTTGTTACAAGAATTCACAATGTTTATATACAAGCACATAAATACTTTTACTCTCCTTAATACATACTTAATTTTTTTAAATCATTAGTATTTTATCTGTGCTAATATACAATTCACTCTGGGGCACCTGGGTGGCTCAGTCAGTTTAAGCGTCCGACTTCGTGTCAGATCATGATCTCACGGTTGGTGGGTTTGAGCCCCATGTCGAGCTCTGTGTGGACAGCTAGGTCAGAGCCTGGAGCCTGCTTCTGATTCTGTATCTCCCTCTCTCTCTGACCCTCCCCTGCTCACGCTGTCTCTCTCTCTCTCAGAAATAAATAAAAACATAAAAAAATTTAATATACAATTCACTCAATATAATAGAAATGCACAGTGTCTACTAGCATGTAAGTTCCGAGAGGCAAAGACTTGGTCTGTCTTGTTCACTGTTGTATTCCAAGCACTGAGAACAGTACCAGGGAGAGAGAAAAAACTCAATACATAATTGCTGAATAAATAAATGTGTATGTACGTTAGGCCATTTCTAAAATAATGTTATATTTAATGTTAATTATTTTCTTTCAATTTTATAAATCTTTATCCATAAACATCAAATGAGGCTAAAAACATCTTTAAAGAAAATGATAGTTTGTATATTTAGACTAGAAAAGCTTACATCACAAAGTTAAATAAACAAAACCCGTTTTAAAATAACGTTAACACTTTAAGAGCTCTATGGAGTTAAAATTTATTTGTGCCAACAGGCTGTACTGTTACCAACTGATGAATTACTACTGGTCACTACATTTCTCTTCTGCTATTTTATGGGAGATTTAAGTTTAAAAATACAGATAAGGCAGAGCAAAAGGCAAAGAGCCTGGGTCTTATTTAAAAATGCTTAGCATTTTCCTTAAAGCTACATTTTTACCTACAAGCTTTATTTTTAAATTATTAAGCTCTGTGAGCAATCTAAATAAGTAATCACACACTACTGTGACGTGATAAGAAACACAAAGTCAAAACACAGGCACTTTGCCTGCATTGAGCCCTTTTAAAAATGAATTCTCTTGGGGCACCTGGGTGGCTCAGTCATTAGCCAACTTCAGCTCAGGTTATGATCTCATAGTTTGTGGATTTGAGCTGGGCATCAGGCTCTTGCTGACAGCTCAAAGCCTGGAGCCTGCTTCAGATTCTGTGTTGTCTTTTCTCTCTGCCTCTCCCTTGCTTGTGCTTGGTCTCTCAAAAATAAATAAATGTAAAAAAAAAAGTAATAAAAAAATAATGAAAATGAATTAGCTTTATTAATTTCATTTAATTTTTGGCACTGTATTGAAAAAGGAGATTTCTGTATGGACTGTCCTATTAACAAAGTGTTTTTTAAAGTATGTTCTTCACTTATATTTGTCAATATGTAAACATAAACATGATATTTACAGTCCCTGCCTAGAATATTTAAATTAGGCAATGATTATTCCTCTTAATAGTAAAAGGTTAACACCATTCAAAGAAAATTTCACATTATTCCAAATTTCCATTAATTTCCAAGTAAATAAAACTACTTCTTAGCAATTCAAATCATTTTAAAATTTGCCAGGTTTGGTTGATGTGTGAGGATGGGAAGAAAGATAAGCTGTGGGATTTTAGAATATAAAGCAGGTAATATTTAAAAAATAAAAGCAATTATTTCATCAATGTGGGACAGAAAATCCTTTCACCTCTGCAAAAATTCAATCTAAACTGAAGAAGCAAATCAAGAAACATGTTTATCTATTCAACAACAAAAATAGAAGTACAGACATGTCCAAAGTTACTGATTTTCTTATGAATATAATTCAACAGTCTTTTTCATATGGTCTTCTGGAGTCAACACTCATCTGTTTTTAATCACTTTCAAGCTTTTAACCGTTTATCTCATTTTATTCAGAGTATTTTAATGAAATGATCATGGTACCGGACATCTTTTTTCCACTATCTTAACTGAAAAAAAAGATATTTTCGATTACTCAAATAATACGGTGTCATTTCAAAGCTTCTGTCCATTCAAATGTCACCAATAATTATCAGTATTTTTACTGGCTTAATACCAGCTGTACAGTGAAAAACTTTGAATAAAATCATAGATGGTCAAAAGTTAAATTCCATAGATCACATATTACAATTTACGTGGTGATAATCTATTTTTTAAGTTAAAGAAAAACAGTATTTAATAAAAAGTAAAACAGAAATAATTTGTTTACATGTTACCATTAAGAGTCCATATACTTCTTTAAAACAAGAAGGATGTATTTAGTAAGAATTAAAACATTAATTGGTTAATGTTAAACTTACGTTGTGGTTCTTAAAACAACTTGATAGATCAAGGATTTGACTGTTACATTGTTGGATACTGGATAAGAATGCCATTTAAAATAACTATAGCTCTGGAGTCTATTGCTTCCCCCCCCCCCAAAAAAAAAAAGCCCTACAGTGATCCTACTCCATGTTTTAAACTGAACCCAAATACCTCTTGGAAAGCATAACACACACACAATCAGAAATATACATTCATTTTAATTTTAATTTTTCAAAGTAGATCAGTGATATTTTGTCACTAGTCTACAATAGTTATAACTGGCTAAAGATTGGTTTATTGATTAAATACTCATAATCATTCTAACATTGTGCTGACTATACAGAAATAGTCAGAAATTCTTACTTTCTTTGGCTTTGCTCATTATCTTAGCATCCTCAGAGCCATTTAGATTCAAACATCAAATCAGGAAACAACATAAACCACACAAACTTGAAAACGTTTGTTCAGTGGAGGATTACCTGTTCAGTGATCCTCATGTGGAAGTCATGAAAGTCACTGTAACGACGATAGGTTTTCCACATCTCCTCGCTGTTCAGACTGCGCCGGTGGACAGTGATAGCATATAATGCGTACGTCTTGCCATGATCATTACACACGCCTGCCACAGCATATGGGTCATAGTCAGCATATACTAGTCATTTCAAACAAAATGGAGAGGAGCAAAACACACACAGAGGAGGAAGATGAAGAACAAAAACGAACAAAACATAAAATGAAGAAGAATTTGAAATGACAGACTGAGACAAAAGGATGTCACCAAAGGATAAAAAAGATTCCCATCCTCTGCACTCACATCCACAAGATTTTATGACAAGTACATTGTAAGCTTATGATGACACTACCAACCACACAGTAATATCCACTTCGACTCACGTCCTCAAGAGCTTGTACCTATTCTTAGTTATGATACCACACTACCACCTCATAATACAGCATTACTCTGCACATATTTAATAGAAAAGTAACAGAAACAAAATAATAACCTTTGATAACTAGCCTTCACTATTCAGTTGTATTTCAATTAATATCTCTCTTACCAAACAGAAAGCAAAAGCCAAGGACTACAATTTATGTACTTTTGGCAAGTCTCTTTACAATTTTCAAAAATTTACAAATGTAGTTCATCCTGTAGATTTAAAAAAAAAAAGACATTTTCCTACATACCATTCACATGAGGTAAACTCTCAAATCAAAGCCTGTTCCCATTTTGTATTAAAATTAAGTAAAGAGATCTGCTTTGAATCATTTTCTCTAATTTTCTTTCCTATTTTCCATTTTCCTACCTTCTTCTAGTGTTGGACTCTATTCTAGATCATTTCTTCAGGTCTCTATAAGTTTACTGAATCTCTACTCATCTACATCTGGTCTATTTCTTAATCCATCCACTGACCTCAATTTCATTCACAGTATTTTTTTCTATCATTTAATTAATTAATTAATTATTTTTTTCATAGTGTTGAATGCTTGCCTTAGCTTTTATCTCTATGAATATTTTTAACATCCTCCCTGGCTAGGTTGGTACACAATCACTTGAGGATGGCTATATCTGGACACACCCATGTTGGGAATCAAGACAGGCTTTCAATTTCTTATGGGCCACAGATATCATTTCCAGACATCATCATGACATTCTGTTTTTTTCCCTTGACACTAGGCTTCTTCTAGTTCATTGTTCATATTAAACCGTTCTTCGTTACTCTGGGCTTAATGTGAAGGACTAGGTTCCAGCTTACTATGGCCTTAGCTCATCCTGCCACTTCTAAGTTTGAGAGGCATGAAAATGCTGTTAAAATCAAAATAGCAAGGGAGCCTGGGTGGTTCAGTTTCAGCTCAGGTCAGGCTCCATGTTAACTGCAGAGCCTGCTTAAGACTCTCTTTCTCTCTCTCTCTCTCCCTTCCTTTGCCCTTCTCCCCTATTCAGTCCCTAAAATTAAAAAAAAAAAAAAAAAGATTAATTAAAAAATTAAGGGGCACCTGGGTGGCTCAGTCAGTTAAGCGTCTGACTTCAGCTCAGGTTATGATCTCATGGTTCATGGGTTCAAACCCCACGTTAGGCTTTGTGCTGACAGCTCAGAGTCTGGAGCCTGCTTTGTGGATTCTGTCTCCCTCTCTCTCTGACCCTCCCCTGCTCATACTCTCTCTCTCAAAGATAAAAAACATCAAAAAAAAAACATTAAAAAAATTAAAATCAAGATATCAATGTTTATGCTCCTGTGGGCTCCCTGGCTTCAACTCCACTTCACTTTCCTGAATTTATTTTTCATCACAGCCTATGGCACCTGTACATTTCTCCCTTTAGCTATTTTTATTTTACTATTTTCAGCATTTCCACATGTGGAAGGCAGGATTTCCTATAGCACTTTAGATTACCACACTGCCCACAAGTATAAATTGCTATTCTAATAATAGATTACATTAATCCATAATTGTGGGAGGAAATAGTGGCTAAGCTTTAGAGCTGACTGAATTTCTTGTATTTTGTATAAAATGAGGCAAAGAAGGGTTTGCATAGCATCTATTAAATTATTTTAATAGCATAAAAGCTAAAAACCTATACTGGCAAGTGCAGTTTGGACAGAAACCTCTTTTAAGCTTTCATCAACATTTTTCTAAGATTGGAACTTTCTACTCAAAATTGTCCTTTACTCCATTTTAATCTAATATTAATTTTCTGATTTGTCAAAATGTAAGCTTAGGGATAGACTCTGGTCACTTCACTCTCTGAGGCTTTAACTCTATGTAATATTATTTATTATTCACTGTTCACTTCTTCCAAACATCCTTCTCTCAGAGACCTGTGCAGAACAAACTGCACAAATCTTTCTCATCCTGTTAGAGAACCAGCACCACTCAAATTAGTTGGCAGGACAAGGGAATAATTTTATCTGCAGTGTTCAAGAGAGGTTTTGTGAAAAAAATAGAAAGCAAAAGCCAATTAGGCAACAAATCATAAACAATTAGGAGTTAACAAGAGCAAGAAGAATAGGAAGAAACAGAAAAGAAACTAAGGGAAGAATGTTAAGAAAGCATTTGAGAAAACAGTAACCAGGTTTCTCACAAACTTACTTGCATAGGAGCTCATGACTAGGGTGCATGCACAAGAGGAAGAATAGGTTGTGCAGAAGACAAAAAGGTAATTTAATTTAAAAAAGATAATGAGGCTGCAAATATGTATTATGAGATGATGGCGAGGTATTATACTGGAAGTAGGTTTTGCTTTCATTAGGACAATGTTACTCACAGCAGGTGATGTACAAACTGTTTGTCACTAATCCATAATGAGATAAGGGACTAGGACCAGAACGTCAATCAACCTCTCATCACTAAGTACACTGCTTAATTTAGCTAGTAGTTTTTAAAGTAAGATTTCACAAAGAGAAACAGTATGCACTAGTCCACGGATCATTCCTTGAGAAGCACCTCACTAAAATCTATGTTCTACTTCCTGTAATAAAGATGTAAAAAACATAAAATCTAGACTCAGACACTCTGAAGTCTAACTGGTAAAATATTTATTGAACAAAGGCTAATATATAATATCTACTCATGTAATTACTAATGTAATCAATTAGTCTCATAGCAGCTCTGTGAGTTAAAATATTATTGATCCATTTTATGGATAAGCAACTGAAGTACAGAGAAGTCAAGGAACTTGCCAAGTTTACCCAGCTATTAGGTAGCAGAGTTGGGACTTGAACCCATGCAAATGGGGAAAAAGCTATGCTCTTCACAACTATATTATGTTGCCTCTTTAGTATTCATACTTAAGTCTGTCTGAGAGAAAACAATTTATTAAAAATGCTTTTAGTGCTTTCAAACATTTTAAGAAGCTAATAAACACTTGTTGAATAAATGGACAAAGCAGCTAAAAATCAGAACATCCAGAAAAAAGGAAGATCTACATAAGAAATACGAACACGAGTGTCTTCCTTGAGACATAAAATTTAAGGTCTTCAAGAAAGAAATAAAAGAACAAATACTAAATACCTGCAGTTTAACAAAGACTTTCACATTTGGAAGACAAACCAAGAGAGAGAAGAGAGATTTTTAAAAAGAATTTTAAAATTTCAGGAAGGAAAAGTAAACAACAGTGAAACAACTATAACAAAAGCTAGAAAGAAAAGCAACAAAACCTCTGGTTTTACTGACAAAGGTGTCATCTAATGACCTTTAAGAGCAGGTAAAGTATGCACCAACTAACTGTAAAGGATAAAAGAACAACTTAGACAGCAATTATAAATAACTTATTTTCACTAATATGGCAGGTAACACAGTGTAAAATGAGACTCTAGCTCCAATGGGAAGCAAAAGAAAACAGATCTTAAAAAAAAAAAAAAAAGCAAATTATCTTAAAACTGCAATGGTTACTTTAAGATCTCTTTTTAGTACCTAAAATGTAAGCATGAAATTGAACTGAGATACCTCAATACAGTAACATTTCAAATATAATCCGACAGACATGCTCCTATAATCTAGGAATAGTGAGAGGCTGGATAAGTAAACCACCATTATCTACTACTCATCGGCATTATCTAATAACCCAGTGGCAATGATGGACATTGATTTTTTTCTCAGCTCACTAACCATTTTGGATATATGCTGACTGAGTCACAAAATTTTAGAAGTTTCTCACCTCATCTGAGCATTTCTTAAACTTCTGTAAGCTCCTATACCAAAGTTTCATTAACTCAGTTATCTAGTCTGACTCTGCATTATGAAAAAGATTAAAGTATATAATCCACCCCAAGTGATTTCATAAGAATTATGCAACAATTATCAGCTACATGCAAACAAGAAAAGGAAAAGATTGGGTTTCAAGAGTTTATTAGCTATGACAAACTGCTTAGAATTTAAGCTTTTCCAAGTGTTAAAAGTAACAACCTTAGAGAAAGAAGATATAGAAGTATATTATAACATACATATAAGGTATCATCAAACATGATACAAAGTATGTATCAAACCATATACATAATAAACATTGTAGAAGTTAATGAAAAGCTCACTGAAGAGAAAGATGTAACTTAAAAATTTGACTACACAACAGAAAATGGTTTGTAAAAATAAGTGGAAAATAATCCAGGTGTAATAATAATCAATAATTTTTAAGTAATAATCATACCACAAAGTCTCTTACCAGTGTCTGAAATGTAAGCATGAAGTTGTACTGAGTCATCAGAAGATACATTTGAAAGGTCATCTAAAGACTTGGAAAAAAATGATAAAAAAATGTTTTTAATTTTATAGGAAAAAAATGTTAAAACATTTTATATCACAAATGCCTTACTCATCTTTGTGCCATGTAAACTTTATATTATTTGTATCCCTCCCCCAACAATAATCTTATTTATACCAACAGGGGAGAGAAAATCCACGATTAAAAAACTATAAAACAAAATAATTCAGAAATCAACTTAGTACATCAGATTATTTCTTCCTTCATTGTGTATCTATATATACTTGCTACTTCTCAATTATATTCAATACATGGCAAGAAAAAATGGAAAAAATCAGTAGACATATTCTTAAAATTTCAAAATTTTTTAAATGTACTAGAGCCAACTCCCTATTATTTAGCTTTTATTAATTTAGAAATAATTTGATTGCTTATCTAAAATGAGAATAACAGTACCTACACATCGGTTATACAAGGATTAAATAAGAAGACATGTAAAACATTTAGTAAGACTGCCTAACACAAAAATGTCACCTATTATTATGATCTATATGACGTGAATCCAGAATCTAAGACAGATTTTAAATAATCTTGAACAATAATCCCACAAACAAAAATCATTACTGAGTAACTCAAAATGAATCTTTTTTAACTATGGCCTTTGGGTTTAAATTTAAATTTTTTTGCCTCAGGTACATACACCCACACATAACTAGAAGGGAACATAATCACATCTTGATAGACTGTGCAGAAAAGAGTTAACTTGAGCCAACTATATTTCTAATAATAATAATACCATATTATATGCTTGAAATTACTGAGGATAAATCTTACATGTTCTTAATATAAAAATGGTAACCATGTGATGTGACAGAACAGTTAGCTAACCCTACGGTGGTAACCATTTTGTAATATCAAATCAGTATGTTGAACTTATATAATGTTCAATGTCAATTAAATCTCAATAAAGCTGGAGAAAAATAACAGCAACAAAAAAGAATTAACGTGAAATTGCTCTCCTCAGAAAGCAATGCTTACAAGCCTGGCTCTTGGATGACATCTGGGAATTTAGATTTAGGGAAGGATCCCCTGCTAAAAGTAGTTCACTGTACCTAACCGGTTTGTATAAACAATGTGGTTTATGCTGAACACCCACTTTCCTTTTGGGAGTCTGGAAATTTAGAATGTACTAACCAGTTTGCCTATGTGACCTGCCTCCAATGAAACCCCTGGTCACTCAGTCTCAGATGAGTTTTCATGGTAGCTACATTCACATATGTTGTCACATTCATTGCTGGGGGAATTAAGTATGTTCCATGTGACTTCCATGGGAGAGGATTCTTGGAAACTTGTACCTGGTTTCCTCTGGACCCTGTCCCATGAGCCTTTTCCCTTTGCTGATTTTGCTTTATATCCTTTGTCTATAATAAATCCTATCTATAAGTATGACTATGCTGAGGCCTGTGAGTCCTCTTAGTAATCACTGAACATCAAAATGGTCTTGGGGACTTCTTGACACACAGACATTATATGGTTCAGGCATATCTTACACTTTAAATTTTTTTTGTTGTTATTTTATTTTTGAGAGACAGAGAGTGAGCAGGGGAAGGGCAGAGAGAGCAGACGCAGAATCTGAAGCAAGCTCCAGGCTCCGAGCTGTCAGCACAGAGGCCAATGCAGGACTCGAACCTACAAACCGTGAGGATCTTGACCTGAGCTGAAGTCGGCCGCTTAAAACCGACTGAGCCACCCAGGTGCCCCAGACATATCTTACACTTTAAAAAAAAAAAAAAACACAGGATCTGAATGAACTCTGAAGTCTTAATAAGATATTACCAATACTACGGAAGAGTCATTTAAATGACTTAAATGCAGCCATACATATGACACAAAGCCATTTACATTAAGGCAATTTCATTCTAAGGAGAAGCCAAAAGTTGATCTACTGAAGATTGATTAAGAGAAGCAAAATCTGATAATTCCATACAGATAACCCAGAGTTATTTCCCTGGTCAAGTCAAGAGGCGAATCATTAAATTAAACTGGGTCTAGTCCAGGCTTCACCAGTGATACCTTGAAAGACTTTAGACAAATCAACTGATCTTTCTTGTACCTCAGTTTTCCCAATGACCTAATGGTGTAATACTTGCTCTGCAACTTTGTCATTTTACAAAGTGAATTATAATGATTTGAAAAGAAGAAGACTGCACTTATTTAAGTGGTCATACGACTTATAGTAAAATATCGTGAGAGAAATACAACCTTGTTTTAATATTACTTTTATATGGAAGAAGCTACAGAGAAAATAGAATATTCTACAAAATTCAGATTGTTATCTACTATGATCTTCAATTACAATCACAGAGAATATAAAACATTTGTTTTTCAAAAAGTATTATTGTTGTTATTACTGTCATTATTATTATGATTAACCTTCCATTGTAGGTAAGATTTCAACAGCTAAATGCTACTTACTTATTACTTTAAACATGTTAGCATCTTACATGACACAACCCAGAAGTTGTTAGAAAACTATATATAAATGTCTTTCTAGTACACTTAAAACATACAATTAACAAATATTATTTTCATTAAATATGATGAAATAATCTAATGAAACATCTCTTAAACACTAGTCACAGGTAAAATGCAAATGTAAATATCAAGTATACTATATAAAATTACAAGTGGTGAAATAATATTAACTACCACATTCTGATTTAGAACTATAAGTATTATTTAGTAAAAGAAAACTATGATTTCAAAAACAAGTGCACTAATACTGCTCTCAAATACAGTTTGTATAGTAATCCTTGGGTTAAGATTCTTGACTCTTGGAAACAAAACAAAACAAAACAACAAAAAAGAAGATTTTTAGAACTACTATGCTAAGTCAAAAACTGAAAATTCAGGGTTTCCTGGGTGGTTCAGCTGGTTGAGTGTCGAACTTTGGCTCAGGTCATAATCTCACAGTTTGTGAGTTTGAGCTCCACAACGGACTCTGTGCTGACAGCTCAAAGCCTGGAGCCTGCTTTGGATTCTGTGTTTCCCCCTCTCTCTCTGCCCCTCCCCAGCTCATGCTCTGTCTTAAAAATAAATAAAGCATTAAGAAAAAAATTTTTAAACAAACAAAAAAAGCAAACTGAAAATTCAGATTTACTATGATAACCCACACAACTATGATGGCACTGCTAGAAATGTTTATAATTTATGTGCCAATCTCGATAGAAAAATGAGTAAATCATTATAAATAAATATATTCTTTGCTTACTATGTGGGAAGAAACTACTATGGCCTATTTTACAAACACAGAACTATTTTTAAAATGAAACTATCCATTAAAATTTGTCTATATATTGGGATGCCTGGGTGGCGCAGTCCATTGAGCCTCTTTTTGACTCTTCATTTTGGCTCAGGGTCATGGGTTGGGCTCCCTGCTGAACATGGAGCCTGATTAAGATATTCTCTCTCTCTCTCTCTCCCCCCACCCCCACCCCCCCGCTTTCCTTCTCCCTCTCCCCCACTCACACACACTCTCTAAAAAAAATAATTTAAAAAATTGTCTACATATTTAAAAAGAATTTAAAAGACTCCAGCTACTTAAAAGCTTGAATTTAATAAAATTATGTGAATAACAAAATACTGCAAGTCACCGACCTCAAGTGTGACCTTTGCCAATCAAAAGACTGTTTTGGTTTAGATCACTATATGATAAAGAAATTGTTAAAAAAAAAAAAAAAAAAAGAAATTGTTCTTATCAGGGCACCTGGGTGGCTCAGTCGGTTAAGCCTCCGACTCCAGCTCAGGTCAGGATCTCACAGTTCATGAGTTCAAGCCACACATCAAGCTCTGTGCTGACAGCTTAGAGTCTGGAGCCTGCTTCAGATTCTTGGTTTCCTCCTCTCTCTGACCCTCTCCTGCTAGCGCTCTGTTTGTCTCCCTCTTAAAAATAAATAAACTATAAAAAAATTAAAAAACAAATGTAAACCATTCTTATTTGAAAAAGCATTTATTCCAGATATGGAATAAAGGAAAAGTGTTACTAGCGTTCACGTATTTGTATAAGCACTACAAACATGAATACCTGAAATTTCAAATGAAGCAAAAGTTTCATCACATTTAGGAACTTTTTTTATTATTCTTTTTTGTTATAAGGCTATGCAACACAACAAACAAATGGTAGTGATAACAAAGGACTTTGGACAATATTTTAAATGTTACAGCATCTTTGATGTAACACTATGGCTGACCACTTTGGTGTTTTGTTAAAGGTTATAATTTATAGAGTAATAAAACACTCAACATGGTTATTTTTTATATAAATGTAGTACTAGAGAAGACAACATAAGATAATGGACCTCTAGGCCATTTAGCTATTACAAGAAGGAAAAGTAGTGTAACTAGAATGAAAAACAAAGGAAACAATCTCTCCCTAACTCCCATCCTCCACAAACTCAGCACTGAAACTTTCATAGAAGATAATATTTCTTCCTAGGGGCATTTTATGAAATAAGTTCTTCATGACAAGGATGGATGTATAAAAGAACTGAAATGTTCATTATTTCACACTTCACTATGAATGTATAAAATGCCAAAGAGAGCTTTTATGTTAAAAATATACCATTCTTAAACTTGTAATCATAAGATAAAGTTGCTCGATTTACTATAAGGCTTAATTTTTTTTTTACAAAAACCTGCATTTGTTACAGTGTACACTATAAGAAATATCTGGAATTTTTGAGAAATCCTAACTAATTTTGTATTTCATTTTTACATACAAAAACAAAGAGCAAATTTCAATGTACACATTTATATATCACAAGTTTAGTATTCAAAATACCACTAGTCAAAGTCACTTCAAAATATTAAATTTGGGATTCAAGATATGAAATCAATTTTTTATCAAATTATGCAGGTGTAACTTAAGCCAACTCTTACAAGTGAAAATAAATTTCAGAGGCTTTCTTATGTAAATTTAACAATTCTTTTAAAGCAAGTAACTTCCTATAATATTAAAGGATGGTCTGTGCTTTTAATATCTCATTTATTTCTGTATGTTATGGCTTACTTTTTATATTTTCAAGCCACTTTAATAATTAAAGCACCCCTAAGAGTACTTACCAAATTTATGCTTCCTGTAGGAGACCCATTAAAAGATTCTGTGGAAGGGGAAATTCAACTTAGTATACATTAAAAACATTTTGGAAAGAGCTGTTTAATCTAAGGTTAAAACACTAAGAACGAAAGTCACCGAAGCAAAGACTTATTAACGAAAGAGCAAAGAAAACTGTGGTACAGTTCTCCCAAACACCTGTTCCCTTAAGCCTCATGGTTTTCCAAGCCAGATATTTCAGTGAAAATATTTATGTACCTGAGTGGCCCCATCTAAAACATACACCAAAAACAGACGTTCATGTACAGGAAAATAAGATTAAATATTTTATTCTCAGAGTATCATATGAAGTTGTCTGATACAGTGTAAATATGAGGAAAACACTGCAGAGTGAAGTCCATTAAGAAATGACTCAAGTATTTTGTTAATTCTTAGTGGATTAAGAAGCATTACAAATAAAATTTTTCTTTCCTGTGAGGAATAAGTAGGTTAGTTAATACAGCTATTATTTCCACTTCTTCTTAGTAGATTTGGCTCAAAAACACTGCAACCCTAGATTCTTAAATCAATATATAACTAATAAAACAAAATATATAAAACTCTACATGCAATGCCATTTAATTAAAGAGCAACTAAAAATTCTTTTTAAACAGTAATGTTAGAGAGCTAAGTCAATGATACATTATTAAAATTAATGTCTTTTCCCTCAGTGTTTTGTTCTATATCTGAACACACGAAGTTATCATTAAGATGCACCTCTGTTAGAAACACAAATTAATATACGGTAGCAATATTCATATACAGATTTAAGGTAAGATATGGTTTCTAGCACTTAAGAGATTATGAATAAAAGCTACAAGTCAATTTATAAGACTTTGAAGAGTTCTTACTATAGGATCAAAAACTACTCCCACAGAATACATTGCTACTATCACCATTTTAAATTATATATTATTTAGAAGGTGATACAATTAGCTGATTATGATTCAATATATATTCTTTCATTCTGGGTCATAGAGCAAATCCACTTCACAATACTAAAAAATTTCTAAAGTAGATGGAATTAAAATAAACAAAAACCTTTATAATAGTGTTTCTGGAAATAGCACTGCTACTTGCAAATTATAACAGCTCTGTAAAAGATTTTTCAAGCGACAGTAAATACAGATATACTAAACTTGAGGTTACCTCCCACAGATGTATTCTTTAAAAAAAATTCCTTAATTATGCATCAAATTCACTGCTTATTTGGACAAATTTAAAGTTTGGAGTTTATCAAGCCTTACATATTAATTAGTTTAATAAGTACTTATGAAGTGGACCACTAGTAAAATGGCCATAGGGTCGCACAATATGGAAACTTGTGCTGTAAGGGCTGCCTCTCCCATTCTTTTTAAAATAACTGCTTATATCCTACTGTTAAAAACTGGTATTTGTGTTTTAGTTTATAAATAACTTCCATATACATAATTTCCTTTACATCTGGCAAATGATGTGATAATGACTCTGAAGATACTATTATGACAAAAATTTTATCCCAGATTTACAACTAAGAAAAATGAGGCTTAAGGAAATCAAGTGTTTGGCCAACATCACACAGGTACTAAGCAGCAGAACTGAAGTAAAATCTAAATATTCTGATTCTCAAAGTCTGCTTTCTTCATTATACCATAGTGGTAATAGCCTCATCTGAAAAAATTCAAAGTTGGAACAAGCAACACTTGTAGCTTCTTTCAGCTTGTATTGTGCAGGACTCGGACAATAGCATAATTAAAGAGAACAAACCCTATACTTTTTAAAACAATGTGTTATGTTTCTCGGGTGTGGAGTTTGGTGAGTTCCTTATAGATTTGGATACTAGCCCTTTATCTGATATGTCATTTGCAACTATCTTTCCCCATTCCATCGGTTGCCTATTAGTTTTATTGATTGTTTCCTTTGCCGTGCAGAAGCTTTTAATCTTGATGAGGTCCCAATAGTTCATTTTTGCTCTTGATTCCCTTGCCTTTGGGGATGTGTAGAGTAAGAAATTGCTGCAGTTGAGGTCAAGGAGGTTGTCTGTTCCAAAATCTATAAGGAATTCAACAAACTCCACACTCGAGAAACAAACAATCCAGTAAGGAAATGGGTAGAAGATATGAACAGACACTTCTCCAAAGAGGACATCCAGATGGCCAACAGACACATGAAACGATGCTCAGCATCCCACCTCATCAGGGAAATACAAATCAAAACCACACTGAGATACCACCTCACGCCAGTCAGAGAGGCTAAAATGAGCAAATCAGAGGACTCTAGATGCTGGCAAGGATGTGGACAAACGGGCACCCTCCTA